GGTGGTGACCAGTTTAAATGTTCCATTGAGGGAAGTCTTATGTGCGGTGGTCAAACTGGTTGCTCAATGTCCTGTTGCACAGGCTACAAATGCAATGGTGCTATCAAAGTGACTGTCAGCGTCTTCTTGATTATGGCATGCGCACTGATAAATGTTGTGCTTTAAAAAATAAAGTCTACTAAGGATGCAGTTCTGAATGTAACATTTTTTATTATTTTATTATGGCATGCGCACTGATAAATGTTGTGCTTTAAAAAATAAAGTCTACTAAGGATGCAGTTCTGAATGTAACATTTTTTTATTATTTTATTTCTATATCGAAGTATATTTAATTAATTCTGTCAAATGTGGCAAAATCTCGAACTTGAAAGAGAACAGAATCACTACGTTTTATGTGTTCACGCTTCCTGCTTTTGATTTAGTACATTGCGCCTGGAATCGTTCAGTCTACATCACATGGGCAAGGGATCGAACTTGCATCGAAACTTTATGCTTTTTATCTTTTTTAGTTTTCGCTCGTATACCATCCAAAAATTAGTCACAATTATTTTTCTTATTTTTATGATCAATTTTAATTTTATAAGAATATCACTTTTCGAAGTGGGAGAATATTAAAGCGGCATATAAATAAATGTCTATTGCTAACAATTGTTTTTCATAATTAAAGACATAATCCTAAATACTTACGTGACTGTGTCACTCACTTCTGGGTGATTGATTTGCGACCAGGCCTGCATATAAATTCGCCAAGGTTGTAAGCCAGTGAGCCCGTGCATTTTTGTTAAGCGGTCATATTTTAAAAGTGTAAATAAAGGAAAGGGAAAACCCGCAGCTCTCCTTTCACTCAGATAAACAGTTCAAGTCGTGTTAAATTTATTTACATTGCTAAACAAAATGATTGTAGAATTAAACCTTTAAGAATTGAATGCTCATATGAAACATTTTCCACCTTAAATACACACGTGTTTTTCAGAAGGGAATTTAGTCGAACTTTTTCCACGATGGAATTTTGTTTTGAGTCGTTTCGACATAAACAGTCGCTATCAAGACATTACACGAAAACCGCAGTCATCGTTCTAGCTCTCGTTGTAAGGTCAAAGCTAGTAAATGTATAAGCGACCTGTTACAT